AGTGCCATGCTATTGACAGGAAGACAAAATAAGTTAGAATGGCCATGTTTCAAAAATTCTGTATGTACACTCAATCACTGGAACAGAAATTGCAGTCGGGTATATAATAACACAGCCGTGTTCTCTATTTCCCCTGTAGATCAATGCTAATATGAGGAAGGCCGCAGAAGATGGATGTTGCCGACAGAAAACCTTGAAATTCCAGGTTAGGTCTTGGGTGGCTTCATGGATAAAAGTGTGTGTGTGTGTTCAATGGCTGTGTAATTTAAATACAAAAGACCAAACTCCTTCCTTAATACCTGAGAATGCTCTACTTCAAAGTAGTAACTTCTACATTTAAATTCAAGTTATGGAAAACAAAACCTGACCCAATATCCTGCCTTACATAAGTATCCAGGCTTTAGCTCACACACCTAAGGGACCCCAGATGGATTACTCAGTGGGCTCAGACAACCACAGGACAATATACCTTCACGTACTCATAGATACACAAAAGAAATACATACGGGCTTTCTGTACATTACTGAACAATCACTCTGCCAGAAGGTAATTTTTTCAGAAGGAAGATGGTGTCAGGAAAGACAGAATGTTTCTTTCTGACATGTTTTACTAGAAACTGGCTACTCAAGCATCACTAGATTTTGAGGGCATGTTGGCTGTTTCACTAGTAGGGTTTATAATCCCAATGTAACAGGTGTTTAAACTGGACAAAAAGAAGCAAATACAGGAACTTCAGCACCAAAAATAGAACCCTCTACCATTTGAGCTAACTTAAACAGATATTTACTGTAACAAGTATCTATTAGATAGACCAATGGTACAGAGAATAAAACAGCCAGACAAGGCATTATACTTGCACTTTGCCAAGAGCAGTTATTTTTAAGTACTTAACTCTGTTAAGGTCAAATTCACACACACAAACTTCTACCCCAACAGGTTTGGATCTAATCACAGTTCACATGGGAGAGTTGCACAAGACTATAGGCCACCAAAGCAATGCTAGTTTCCCCATGAATTTGGCACTCAAAAAAACTCAGCTGCGAGACGTGTACCTCCACCATTTCCACCTAAAAGTCTCCTGTAGCTAATAGCAGTGAAAATCTTATTTTCTCTGTAAGCCTGCTATTTGAGACCAACATAACTCACTTAGCAATGCATTGCACACTATTCCTGATTATGTGGAATACCAAGTAATTGAAGAGAAATAATACGCATCAGTGACTGGGATTTTTACCAGGATTCATCCCTTCCTGTTTCCTACAGATTGACATGTACTCATCTTCAAGGCTGAGGACTACAAGCCATACAGTTAACTCAAAAGTATGTTGTTGCATTGGTAAATCCTTCCATACAAAAGGAAATATATATATATGTACACACACATATATATATATAGCATATATATATGCTTTCACTACCCCTTCAGTACTTCACAGCTTCTTCAGTAATTTGAAGCAATGTGTTTGTGTTGCTAATGGTACATTGCATGAACTGGGAGTATATTTTAGAAGATGTATAGTATGGGTCATTCACAGAAAGTGTTCACTTTCAAATTGTTCAGTAAAGCAGAATCACTTCCCAGAAAAGATGCTGCCCCATCAAAACTTTGTTCCACATTTCAGCCTTGATCTGAATCCAAACTGTACAACTAGCCTTTATCTTGACAACAAGCCAAACCTTTCTTGAGATACCACTGCACAAACCCACACTGAGGTTTGTGACTCATGCCCATTATTAGTTCAGTCAGATTATAGACAGTTTTGATGCCTGGTTCTCAGCAAAATGCTGCAATATTTAGGACATGTATGGGGATGATGAAGGAGGGGGTATTGTATTTCTATTGATGACAGACCTTTACAGACGTACCTGCAGAGCGACCATACCAGCAGAAATACTGTAAGAACCACGGATCTTCAGATCATGATTAAACTCTCATGAAATCCCATCCAGTGAGCTACAACTGCCCTTTCACCTTGCTCTTCCTCCTTCCTTCTGAGCCCATCTGGCTAATAGGTCAGAAGTGGGGACACCTGTGCACAAAGCCGTTGAAGCCGGGAGATTATTTGCTAACTCTGGAGGTTCAGTTCCCATCCGAAGCACCTGCTGTTGGCCCTGACTCACGTGGGGCCTGAATGCACTACCGGTGGCCCCTGATTCACCTTTTCGCTGTTTGTTCTCCCAGCGTCATCGGAGGGGTATGCAAGGAGCTCGTCTTGTCTGCCTCCCACACGGGGCTTTCCGGGAGCCGTCGCTCCAAGCCTTCTCCGCTTGGATGCTGCAGAGAGCAAAGCTCCTACTGCGGCCTCAGAGTGGCATCTAGTGCTCGGCTGCCGCACTGCCCCTCACCAGCACCGCGCCGCCGTTCTCGCAGGGCAGTTCACCTGCTTTCCAAACACCAGGGTCAAAGACTTGGTCTTGGGCAACACGCACAGTAATTGAGCTACCTCAAGGAAATGAGTGCGCTCCTCTCATAAACGGCAGGTCTAATTGATTCCACGGGAAGCAATCAGTAGCACAGTAAAATAAAAAAGGAATTAAACATATCCTTTTGGTTACCCAGACTGTGCTGTATGAAGAGGATAATTTATACACAGCCCAAACTAGAGTATGGCAAGTTCTATTTACCTACATTCCCCCTCCACTGCACACTTGTTACAGCGGTTTTACTAATATGCACCTATGGAAATCTACTTGAAATTACTAAACCTTCCTTCAAAGGCCATGCCTGTTCTCAGGTACTGCAATGTTTGTTCACTGCTGCTCACAACAAATTTGTCTCCTAACCCTAATTCTTCAAACTCATTTTTCCTCTTGCTGTATATGCCAGTCAAATCTAAAATGCAGAACTCTCCAACAGCAGGACAGCAAAAGAAGACAAGGAACCAAATGCACTTCCAGGGAGTATTTTCCATATATCAGAAATAACAGCCATTAGAATAAAAAAACCCCACAAATTACCTGGAGTTCTTGAGGGCACTCCTGAAGGCAGCATCCTTTTTTCTTTTTATCATTGTTATTATTATTTTTACTACATGACCAACTCAAGTATAATTTTATGGTGTATAATTTAATCAGAATGCTCTGCAGGCAGGTACATTATCCCAGCTATGTTTCCTTTTTTCAGTCTGCCTGAGATAAAGTAGTTGGATATGTTAAAGAAAAGCTACATAACTGTATAAGAAGTGTGTAGCTTTTTCATATGCTTTTCACTAGCAAATCTCCAAGTGTTTTAATAAAAAAGGCCACATGTTGCTTCCCTCACTTTGTCCATCTGTGAAATGAGGATAATACCTAAAGACAGAGGGAGGTGAGGATCAGAATCCATGTCTTGAGCTCTTTCCAGTACTGAAATAGTTAGATTTTTTTCCCATTACATCTGAACAAAAGAAACACATCTGAACAAAAGAAATGAGAGATAGCAGTAAGACAGTGTTTAAATCATGTTCTGATCCTCTCCATATTTTAGTTCTGCTAACTGCAAAAGTCAGGCATTTATTATGTAAATTCAGAGACGTGTTCAAATATAGCTAGTTACGTAGCATAATTTTCCAGTTCTTAAAATTCCTCTAAATTAGGAAAAGCCTTCACACTTGAATTCTGGCTGATTTAGCTGCTACAAAAAGTAGAAGACAAAAATTACTTTCACATATGAATGCAACAGAAGAACAGACCCTGTCAATACTTTTTTGATAATACGCATGACAAATTAACAAGCTTCCAATAAATTAAATTTCAAACAGTTTGGCCTTGGCTTGGCAAACTGTCCAATATCAACATTGGCACACAGCTGAGAAGTATTCTAGGGTCAGAAAGTTCTTGGCAGCAGGGCCTGCATTCACAGGCAGAATGCAAGAAATCACAACAGTATTAATGCCACAAATGTCAGGTTCTTCAGAACAACACCATATCCATTGGTAGCAGAGTGTTGCTCAAGGCTAGAAATAAGTACTGAGAAAGCCCTTTATCACACTTGCCAAAAAAAAAAATGGTGTGCATTGTGAGAGCCATACACAATGACTAAGATCCAGCCTAAAGAACTCTAACCATGCCTACAAGAGGTTCAGAAGAGCTACAAGATCTGCACTCAGGACAGCATGTCCAAATATTTTGTAGTCTGAAAGCTCCTCCTAGCTGTGAGATCATCTGACATTGTCAGCTGGGAAGTTTTTTGTTATAATACTGCCAACTTTAGAGTTACTTTTCCCCCTGGCTTAAGTACATCACCATCCTATATAAGAGCATCAAGGCCTTTTGCAGAACAAAAGCCTCCTCAGGACTCCTCAGGATCATATTCTTACTGCTCCTTTAGAGCTGGCCAAATCAAAGGAGCAGCTCCAGACACCCCATCCTGTTACAGACTAGCTTTGCTCAATGTGTTGTAACCAGAAACTGAAAAAAACCTTTGTTCACTGATTATTTTGTTTTTTCGCATCCTCAAAAATTCCTGTAAGTAGCACACTTATACCTTTGGGATGAGTCAGTGAACACAAATTCCTGATTCCTTTTTCAGGCTCTGCCACAGACTCATACTGAGACTTTTGGAAATACATGTCATGTGCTTCAGCCTACTGTATATAAAATTATAAGACGCAAATGCAAAGCACAATGAGCTCCCTGACAGAAAGATGACAGACAAATTATTCATTTACTTATTATTCACGTACTTCACTGTTTATTTTTAGATAAATTGCTCATTTCACTGTCACACACACACAAAAAAGTCTTCATACCACTGAACATTAGAAAGCTAAATAAGTCACAATACAGGAATGAAACAGGTTCATTTGTCACAGACAACCACAGAATTGTGTCTTATTTGACTACAAGACCTTTGTAACCGTGATAAGATGTACATGTAAGAGTAAATAAGAGGAGCCAAAGAGTGACAAAAATCCCAAGGAAATATTTACTGACGTAGAACTCTCCTGTTACCAAGGAAGAGTAAAGACAAATAGGCTCTAATAAACCTAATTGTAACCTCGAGATGCAGATTAATTTACCTTCAACGCTCTGAAATTGCAACATGAGTTTTCCCAGGAGCAACCGAAAGAAACTTCTTTTGGAATGCCAACTCAAGCACGTTGGTAATCAACCGCGCAGGACATCCTGGAATGCGGCAACGGCGCTTCCAGAGGAACGCCTGACGTTACAAAGCTCTCCCAGCAGAGGGCACACGGCCCCCATCCCGCTCACTGCCCTGGGAAGCAGCACTCCTCCGAACCCCTGGGAAATCGGAACTGGAAAGCTGGACTCTCCTTTGGCTGCAGCAGAAAATCTGGGAGCGGTGGGCGCTTTCAAAGGGCTGTGCATAAGTTGTTTAAATTTCTATGGAGTTCTGAGCTTGAACACTCATTTATATTAAAAAAAAAAAAGGAAAGAAAAAAAAGGACAGTGCTCAAAATAGCCTTTTTCTAAATTGCAAAAAAAGGGGCTCTGTATAGGACTGAAGATAAGTCACAATTAAAATCCAGTCTGACTTAGTAAAAATAAAAGCAGTACACAGAAATTAAAGATATGCACTGATACTCTAGGCTTAGCAACAGGAAAGTATTTTGAATAGTCTCAAGGACACATACGGACGTGCGATAGGAGTAATGAAAAACAATGGGAAATAAAGCCAGAATATCAGGAAACACATCCCAGTAATGTGCTCCTCTCTTCAGATTAAGCCCCATCACTATAGCCTTTCAAAGCTAGAGTATAGGGAAATACCTATTGTAGGGAACATACCTGCATTAAACAGGGGGCAAAACCAGGTGGAAAGGGTACTTTTCTGTTCTCTCATTTCAAGTCATATGTAAAGAGAAGCACGTGTAACAGTTAAAATTGCTCACATACAAATATCATCCACCCACAGATTAAAATGTCACAGAACAAACTCATTTTGTGTGGCACCCCTACCCCCGGTGGGGGGGTTGGACCTAGATGATCTTTAAGGTCCCTTTGAACCCAAACCATTTTAGGATTACAAGTACGTTATACCACAAGGAGTTAATAATAGGCTGGAGAAGGAACAATTTTCCTCTGGCTTGATTCAACACACTTGCATTATTCATCACATTTGTGAAGGAATATGAATCCCATCAAATAATTAGATGGTGTGTTAACCTTCCTGGTTTGCAGCAGCCTGTGACTGACAAGTAGAAGGGTTCTCCAAGAACAATTTCCTGTGCTGTCACTCCTTTCTGCCTGGACTCTCAATGAAGGGTGCATTTTGTATGTTTGTATAGGGAATCCCTGTGGAGTTTTTGTTGAGCTTTAGGTCAAAACCCTCTGAATTTAACTTTAAATTGGGGACCTATTAAATGCCATATTTGTTCCGGTATGTATTACCAGTACTACAATACTGGTCCTCTTCCAGTACTGTAATTTAAAAAAAAAGCCACTCTCTTACATCAGTTTTGATTAGAGTAAGGTGTGAAGGTGAAATATCAAATTGCAGCAAAGTACACTAAAAGAAGTCACTACTTACTAGTGTACTCAAAGTACACTACTAAGAAGTCTAAGTAGTTATAAGAGAATTTCAATGGCATTTTAACTTAATTGGATTTTCTCAGATCTTCTGCTTCAAAGCCTAGTGTGGTTTTCTCCTCCCTTAATTCCCCCCCAGCACAGACTACCCTGATCATCAGCCAGGTGGTAAAGTTCAAAATATTTGTAGTAGAAAAAAAAACAAACCAGAGGTCCTGTCTGTTGTTGTTCTGAAATTTGTGATATAAACATCATAGGATTTGTAAGAATTTACAAATTGTCTGAACTGACAGCATCTGAGAACTCTCAAAACTTCTTATGGACTTCAAGGTTTCCAAGCAAGTCAAGGAAACTACAAAGCAGACTGAGGCTAAATGAATCCTTAAATTCTGCTGACAAATAGGATGCAATGAACCACCAGTGGAAAAAGCTGGTAGAACCTCATAACATAAATTAGTTCAGGAAGTTCTGTTCTAATTCAGTCAAGAATTGATGAGGGAATGTAGATCAAACAAGGCAACTGCAATTGTTTGTCATAGCTTTAAAGACTGGTAATTTCTAGGGGCCTTACATGTGCTACTTCGTTTTCTTCAAAACTTCCCCTTCCACTTGACTGTGATGAGCCCATCCCAGAATGCAGCTGCATTTTCAGCACGTTCTTTATACAGTGGCTCATACAAGTTGAAACCCATTCTAGAAATAGCAGGCTTGCTAGGGGATTTTCAAACTGTTTACCAAACTAAGGTAAAAACACTGATCGAAGGATAGATAATGCAGCATAGTTGATTACTTTCAGTTACTGTGTGGATAAGTGCAGCTAACAAGAGTCAAAAGCAGAAGAAATGAAAGCCAGTGAGTACTTCTACAATGAAGTATATTCAGTGTCAGTGTATACATACAGTGTCAATGGAGGAACGTATGTATATTTAGAGAAATAAATAATGGAAACAAACTCTGCTCTAAATGACACTGGAGTGAGTGTGCAGTGATGCTCCCTACCCAGCTGGCACGACTCTGGATTTTTTTGGTGCCGCCAAAGGCAGAATCAGGCTCATTTACTTGGCATTTAGCAACACATGACTGGGGAGCATGAGCCAGGGAACAACTATGCCTTCCTGCTTTGGGATTTTTCTGAAGAAGCAGCTGGGATAACTGAGTTCCTTCTACAAAGCTGCCCCGAGAAGCAATAACTGTGTGTCAGAACTAAGTAAACTGGCAGTAGCTGCGACCCCGTCCTACTGCTGCCCCTTGTCCAGATGGTGCTCGGTCACAGGTTGGACTCCATGATCCCAGAGGTCTTTTCCAACCTAACTGATCCTGGGATTCTTGAAGAGCCTGAGTCTGCCCTAACACGCAGCAATCCTCCAAATCGCCAGAATGAAGGATCATACAGCAGCTTGTCAAGCCTGGGTGTAGCGGGGCGGCTTTTTAGTGGAAATGGAAACAGCCTGCTCGTAGCTTCCAAGCTCCGCGGGCGGCAGCTCGGGGCGATTCCCTGACAGGGCTTCGGCTCGGGAGAAGCGCCCCGAGAGACAGTGCAGCTCGGCCCAAACATTTGGAAGTGTGCTACTTTCATCAGGGAACGTGCCCCTTGCACTTGGCAGGGAGGCCAGTCCCAGCGAGCCTCTCCCGGGGCGGCTCCGCCAAGGGCCACCCCGGCGCCGGCCCCCTCAAAGGCTGCCCCGGGCCGCCCTGTCCCCGCCTGCCCGGCTCCTGCCCACAGTCAAGATGGCGCGCGGGCATCGCGGCAGCGCGCAGTCGCCCTGCCCTGCTCCGCGCGCCGCCGTGGCTGGCGGCGGGCGCGGCCACGTGACGCGTTCAAGCGCGCCGCGCGAGCCCCGCGCGCAGGGGAGGGCAGGGAGCGCGCGGGCCATCAGGTGACTCCCCCCGGCGGCGGCGCGCGCCCGTCACCGCCCGGGACACGGGGACCGGGACACGGACACGGCCAGGGAGCCCGGGAGGGAGTGGGGCTTAACTGCGGGGGCGGCAGCGCGGGGGGCGGCAGGCGGCCCGGGCGGCCGGGCAGGGTGACGCGCAGCCTCCGCGGTGCGGGGATGGACCCGCGGGGTGAGGGGGGCTCGGTCCTCGCACCGCGAGTGGCGGGTACGCCGCGGCCTCGCTGTCCAGCCCTGCCGAGGCAATCCTCGCCCGGCCCCGGGGCTGCTCAGCCGGTGTGGCCGCTCCAGGGGCAGCAGCCGCTCGTCGCACTCTGAGTGGCGCTCTTGGGGCTCCGGCCGTGGGGACCCGCCACAGCACGGACACCCAGCAACGCTCTCGGGGCTGTCTCCTTAAATCCTCGAGAAACAGCTCCTGCTTCGTTTGCCACGGTGATGAGGCCACCAGTGCCTTTGGATTATTTGAGTGATGTGCAGGGACCGCTGCTGGCCTTGATACAGAAACTCTAGATGTTGAACATCTCGACATGTCAGTGAATTTGAAGGCTAACAAGCACACTATTCTCACAACCCAGTTAGCCTTCCACAGGGTATATTTTATTCAAAAAAAAAGTAAAGCTGTACCATATGCATTAGAGGAAACGGTCACAAGTGACATAAAGATACCAGAATACAGTGTGATTCTCTTGTTCTCCCACTCCAGCTAATTCAGCTTTCCTTTCCCATAAAGGGCTTCTTCATTCATGGCTTGGGCCAGGCACTCATAGGATGGACCATCGACTCTCCTGCAGGCACTGAAGTGACTTCACAAACACTGGCTGTGAGCGAAGGTCCTCACACAGGTGGCACGTCTTCTCAGGTAAGGGCTCCATGTCAGCAGAGCACCCCAGTGCAGCTGTCCAGTGTAGATCTGAAGGGAGGGGAAGACTCTGGCCACTAGCATTACTGTTACTGTAATTTACTGGGACTAAGTTCCAACAAAAGCCTTATTTTCATTTCAGAGCATTAAGCAGTTAATTGTGTTAACAAGCACAGTGACCTCAGCCTGCTTTCCCATAGTAACCACACTGTGAAAGTCATTTCAGAGACTTCATTAGCAAGACAAACAAAAAATGGAAGCAGTGAAATTATGTCTGTAAGGTGTTACTTAGCCTGGAAAATTTTCTTTTAGGCCAGCAAAGTCTGAGGAGGTAAATAGTTCAGTGGAGTATAGCCATGGCTGGTTCTCTGTCCTGCTGATCTGGCTTTTGAGAAATTTCCTCTGAGGCTGTATGTCACAGGTTGCACTGAGAGGGCCTTATATGCCAGAGAAACACACTTCCCCAAGCACAGACACACTGAGCAGCATAAGGCATGCTTTGTGCTTTCTCAGAACAAGTTTTCAGAGAGCACAGTGAACCATCCCTGTCCCATTACTTGGGCTACATGAACCTTCGCAAGGTGTTTTAATCAATCCCTCAGCCAGATCAGATTTACCTGTTCTGAGAAATATCCAAGGCATATAACACCCATCTCCTTCCACTTGCAGAAACCTCTAGTCACTGGTAGGCAAATTAATGATCTCATAAAAGTTGATATACATCCAAATGGCAGTTCCCTTTAGCTCAAAAACATTTTCCTAAATTGCTCTTCTCAAGTCTGTCTTGTTAATATAAAGTCCAAGGCACAATCAGTCATTCCCATCCCATCACATTGACTATTTGAGAATCATTACTGAAGCTTGAGTTGAAAGAGCTGTCCAAAATGTTCTAGCTGTATGCAAACATTTCAGATTTTCACCCTTTTTGAGGAAGGAAGATTTGTATGAATTGTAAGCAAACTTTTCTTGAATATAGCATAAGTAGTTATTTTATACAGCAGAAGGATAATGGTACTTTTAGAGAGATATTATTCCTACATCTGTTTTACCAAAAAAAACCCCTACATTTGACAGTAACATGTTAGGAAGGAGAATGCAAAGGTGATGGGGATTGCTAGGTTCTCGAGACTTGATAGTAGCTTGGGAAACTGTTCAGTTACTGGTCAAATATCTAG